ATTGGTTGTTGCATTGGTTGTTGCATTGGTTGTTGCATTGGTTGTTGCATTGGTTGTTGCATTGGTTGTTGCATTGGTTGTTGCATTGGTTGTTGTGTTGGTTGTTGTGTTGGTTGAGATGCTGCATGATATCCTAAGGTATGCCCTGGATGATATGTCGGTGGGTATGTGGGGTAATATGCTTGAGAGTACATTGGCTGATGCATTGATTCATGAATATGTTGATGTACTGGTTGATGTACTGGTTGATGTACTGGTTGATGCACTGGTTGATGCACTGGTTGATGCATTGGTTCATGGATTGGTTGATGTACTGGCTCCTGCACTAGTTCCTGCACTGGCTGAGACGCTGGTTCCTGTACTGGCTCCTGTTGTTGCTTTTTCTGTTGCTGCTTTCGCGGCTGCCTCTTTGATGCGGCGCCCTTAACAGCTGTGGGCTCCTTTGATTTTGTTGCACGCTTCTTTGTTGAAATTTTAAAGGCAGCATTAACGGTATAAACAGGGTCTTTAAAAGGATCCTCTTCTACGCATTTTAGGTTATTGTATGGAACTTCAGGCAAAGGTGGTATATTTGCATCTTGGTTTCCATAATTCTTTAAATAGACAGGATAGGTAAAGTATCTATATCGTCTCTGACGTCCCTCAAATTCCAAATGACGGCAAATGCTACCATAGCCTTTGTTAAGCTCGCTTATCTCCAACATCTTTTCCAAAACTCGGTATAGTAAGCGCTGTTCATCAAGATTTAAAGCAAATCCAATCTCTTTTGCAATCGCACCCTGTGTGTCAGCAGCCTCGATCACCTGATAACATTGGCTTTCTATACAGGTGTCGTGTAAAAGATGCAGAATAGGGACATCTTTTCTTGTACTTTTAATACGGATAGGAAACGCAATGTCTTCCACAGTAGCTTGAACTTGTATGGTGTTCTTGTCTTTATATAGTAATGTCAGAGACGCAAAATAAGCACACACACAACAAAAACTTACCTTCAGGTATTTTGACCAAATGAAGACATCTGTAGTATTTGCCTCTGTTATCAAGCTTAACGTTGGTTTTCTTAATGTATCCTTGTAAAAAGAGTGCATCCAAGGAACGATTAAACCATTTTTGTACTGCTGGATTCTCACGATTAAAACCCTAGTGAATGTTAGAAGGCTTTTCGATACATGGTAGCTTACTTACCAGAGCCTCCAATACATCTTTTGATAGAATCGCTTGACCTGGTGCATCTTTCATCATATCCACGAGCGCATCGCGGAGTTGTACTAAGGAAAAGGCTTCATTGTTTATATTCACATTATAGTACTGGCGGCCTTCATCCTGTACAGCTTTTGACATGTCAATGGTTTTGTCTTCCGCGACAAATCTTGCATGGACACAGATATTAGTACGAGCTCCTTTAAGTGATATGCCTTTTCGAATAATGCAGCCCTTTTGTTCTAACGACTTGAAATAATGACCAGCTGAACGACTATCAACCCCATACACCCTGGATAGGTCTGATTGATAGAAGCCCTTATGCCTTGTACGAACAACAAGCTTTAAAACAATTTGTAAGTTTGGTGACAGCTTATTCCCTGGCTATTTCAAATAATTGAGCATGATGTTAAAGTTTTACCATCGAAATGCCTTACCGGAATGCCAATATAGATTTGCTCTTCTTGAAGCTTAGGCGCGGCAACAATGCGTAGCGATGCCCCATATGCCTTTATTTCTTCATAGTTCATATTTTTTGCATCATCTATTGGTTTTAAATTCAACTTCTTGTCCTATTGTTATATTCGATTAGCTGTCTATTTCCTCAGATGTACCTTGTCTACTTACAATATCAACAAAATCAGCCCCTTCTGAACTTGCATTTTTAGTATCCTCCTGCTTTTCTTCGACCTCTTCTTCATCGTCAGACTCATCCTCTTCATCAGAATCGGCTTCAAAATCATCATCGGGGTCGACCTTTTTGGCTTTCTTCGCCTTTTTTTGTTTTGCAGGAGCTTTACGCTTGCTGGGTTGATCATTGCGATCAGTATTAGAAGCTGTTTGTTGTTGCTCTTGCTTATCAGCTTCCATAAGATCCAAGTTTTCATAAAAATACAAATCCTCCTCTTGTTTGAGGTGATCCCAAATAAATGCTTTATAATTGTCATCGATAGTTGGATTCACATTGTCTACTGAAGACTCTTTTGCAATATCTGTCAATATGGTTTGAACATAATTCCAAAGATCATCATTGCTTGATCCTGAGAATTATCATATAAGGAACTAGTTAACGAATATATTTTACTAGTAAATGAACCTGAAGGGCCATCGATGGCAATCTCTTCTTTTAATCGCGATAAAACAATATCAAGCATAAAGATTGAAGAACGCCGGTTCGATTCTCACAAGGGTACTAAATAAGAAAATTTTCTGAAATTAGAAAAATTTTATTGGCTAACTACTAAAAATGTTGCAGGAAAAGACAATTGAGGATGTCATCTTTTGGCCAAAGTTTATTTTATGATTAGGAGTGGGAAACACTACATGTACATATTAGCAGACAAATACAACTTTCTATTGTATGCATTGTTCTTTCCAGGCTTCTAATTGCTTGATTTCTGCTTCTTCAAATTGCTTCTTCTTTGCAAAACTGATTAGGGTATTGAATGTTTTTTCTTCTATCAAAGGTTTATCGGATATCTCATCTCCAGGAGCGCGCATGTCCTCCTTCATCAGGCTAAGCGCACGATCCCATCCTACTCTTCCAGGTATACGGCAAAGGCACTCGATATAAGAATTGTAATTGTTTGTATTCAGTTCGAATCCTGTACGCTTGAGCCAGTTCCAAATGGAAGGTGCACGGTGCATGTATCCATTATGTCCGCAGCTGTCCAACACGATGGATACCGATGCTTGATCAACTGCCACATTTGGGGGTGCAGAAGACACGAGTTGTTGCCAGATGTCCAATACAGTCCTGCCATCACCAATGCGATTATAGGCGTCCATGAGTGCATTGTACATCCCAATGTTAAGATTCAAGTGCCATATCCGAACATAAATTTATACATATTGAAGCTAAGGTGGCCAAATTACGCCCTTCGGTAAGTCTACTGAAGCTGCAATCGTTGCTTTATCTGCATCATAATCGATAACGTCATAAAACTTTTGCTTTTGCTCTTCTGTTATAACCAAGTCATCATCAGCCTCTCCCTGTATTATAATGCATATTAGCCCCTCTTGTTCTGAGCTTATTTTATGCACAACTTACACTAGGTTGTCCTTTTCCAGTAGCACTACTACTTCCAGACCACCAGCTACTAATACTCCAGCCTTGACTCGCCTTTCTTTCCGCTTCTTCTTTTTTACGTTTCTTTTCAATAGCAGCTATCATCCAATAAAAATTTTAGAAACCCATCCTTGCTTCGTCTCGTCCTCTTTTACCAAGTCGTGCTTTTTCTCTTCTAAGCTTAGGTTTCGCTAAACTTCTGTAAAATCGAAGATCTTCAAAGCTCAATTCACGTTCAAGATTCTCTAATTGTTCCAACTCATCAGGCGTGGCTCTATCAAGCTTACGATTCACATAGCAATTGATATACGCTATACGATCATCACGTCTTTTCTTAAGTCGTCTCCAAGTCCACCGTTCGTTTCTTTCGTGTATCTCTGAAAGAACAGCATTGCCTGCAAATCTAAAATATTCCAATGGATGCGTCTTGGGTGTCATATCAGAAGGTGGACGAAGATCCTTGTACTGCTCTCGTAAATTGATCAGTAAACTAGCCATAACCCAAATAAAAAATAGGTTACCTTTTGCTTTTTTAGGTAAGAATGAAACAAATCGATCATGAGAACGGTGTCACGATACTGCTCGTTATCAACCGTAAAGGATAGTTCATCGAAAAGTAGAGACGCTTCAAACTTGGGAACACCGCTGCCAAACTGTTTGTTGAATTTGACTCTTCCTGTTCCCGAAACGAGCTTGAGCACGTATTGATGTTCTTTTGGTACATTTTCCTTTGTTGCAATCTATCAAAGCGATAGATCAGTATTTCAAAAAAAAAAAAGAAAAGAAAAAAAAAAGGTACTTACGAGTGCCTTAAAGGATTCATGCTCAGTATCATCTGCTATAGAATCGATATTTGTATCCCAATAGATAGAGAGCGATTCTAGTGTTGCAAGCTATACATGACCATATCAGATGATGAATTAATGTAAGCATACAAAATCAATTATCTTTCTAGCACATACTTTTTCTTATCTTTATCTTATCCTGATTTCCATATCAAACATCGTTCGATCTTTTTCTCTTCTCTTCTTTTAGACTTTGAGCTTATCTCACTCCTTATAATTTAATCCGAAACTTATCCGTGAATAGCCCATGTTACCACGGATACATCCACTAAAGTAGTTATTAGAAACACTAAATCCCTCTGAATCGCACATAAACGGTTCTTTTTTTTTTTTCTTTTTTTTGCTCTATTTTGCTCTGGTCTCTTCTATTTTAGAAAGATCTCCATCAACCATCATATGCATATTGTTACACGAGCTTCCATGGGTACAGCAGCTCTCCTTTTTTTTTTAGTTTATTAATTTGTACTTTTTCCTTACTAGCTACAGCGAATATGTAAAGAACGCTTTAAAAAAAATCAATATCAAATGAATAAACGTAAAGAGAATGAGTAAGCCAACATCTTTTTTTACCGTTCATCCCTTGTTGCGTGTAGTAACACATCAATAAAAACGGGTTCCAAAAGTTGCACAGGGTTATTCCTAGGGTATGGGGAAGCAGATAACCTTATTTTCTAAAAAAGGACCTTTACTAATTTACTCTTATCTGCTGACCAAAATGATGGCGTAAAATAAACAAAGCACGTATTTATAACTAAGCCTTATGTGTGCGTGTGTGTGACAGTAGTCTTTCATAATATCAACGCTGTGAGATGACCCACTAGATGAATAATCTAGTGACATCTCTATGCTCTAATGTACCAACAATCATGGCACGCATATTTATAGAGGTGTGATTTAAAGCTATTATTTGGTATAATTCGTTTTTTAATAAAACTTTATGTGTAGATCCTTTTTTATACAGTGTGGCTGGTAAATTTTGTCCGTTTTAAAAAGTAAATGGCTGTCATCTATAAATGACGCTAGCTCGAAAATGATTGTCGTTTTCGAAATTTTTATTTAAATCGTTTTAAATCGCTACAAATTGTTTAAATCGTTTTTAACCGTCCATATTCGACATCTTTTACAACATGTCAACTGTATCAACTTCTCCAAAACTTGTTACTTTAATCTACGTCTGTCACATATGCGAAGAGATGAAATTTGAGGGGCGAAACCTTAGATCACATTTACTTTCTGGTCACTTAATCGAAGTACCTAAGCTAAAACGCGGCCAACGCCATCGCGATTCATTGCAATATGCTTTCGTGAAGTCAAAGAACAACAAAATACACCAAGCAATTGCCCAAAGATATGCATGTCCGTCTTGCTTGAGTCACTTCCTAACAATTGATGAGTATAAAGCACATGTGACAATACATATCGATCCTAGAAATGCAGAACTCGTAGTTCTTCCGCAGAAGAGAAAACATGATGCTGCGCGCAAATTCTCAACAATGATGCAACCACAAAACAGAGCAAATTTTCCTCAAGAATACATCGCAAGATTAGAATCCATTATCACAGTCGATCAAAAGGAAGCTGATAAAACCAATATCAGTACTTTAAAACAATTTCAACATGTAGAGCAATTGTTACACCAAGCACTTAAACAAGAAGTAGAAAGCTTACCGTCCTTTCTTTGGGGTAACAAAATTGCTGCTGATCCAGACGAACAAAAACTGATCAATGTCACAAAATTTATACTCACTACTTTTGCGGATACTTGCTCAACAATAGCAATAAATACAAAGCCTAACAAAGATTATGAGAGGACATTCTGGGTAAAATATATTGTGCCTGTTTTTCAGACATTTGCAAATCAAACGGGTTTGTTGTCATTAAATTGGTGTGAAATCTCAACCATCTGCCACTCAAATGAAGACCAAGATACGACACGATACGTAGATGGGATGGGATATGATAAGAGAAGAAACGAACGAGCCGTCTTTGAGGCGTCTTCTGGTCAATACAATGCCAATGCAGATAAGATAATTGACGATAGTACAAAGCAAATCAGTTCAATGATGTCAATGTTAAAAGGCATCGCAAGTCGCCACCTAAATGCCAAATTTGAAACCCTGCTAAAGACAAAAGTTTTTGGCATTCAATCGATTAAAACGAATCTTGTTCTGTCAGAAGTGTTGCTTAGAGAAGATGGAAGATACCACTACAGCGAAGTCCGCTCTGCCGAAGTTCCCACAGAATATGTCGAGCGAAACAGATGGATCAAAGTTTTCGAGATCTTGTGTTATTTGTTTGTTGAGCTAAAAAACCAAGAAGTATGCTATCAGACTATGGAAGATGAAGAACAAGGAGCTATATTAGTAATTCCTGAAATTACTATCAAGAGCAAACTCAATTCAAACAACATATAGCCCGCCCCTCTTATTGCACTCATTTCTTCATTAACAAGTATTAATTGATTATCATATCATAATATAAAAGCAAAATGAAAAATTAAAGTGCTCCACAACAATAAAACTCTCTTATTTTTGTTTGAAGAAAAAAGACCAAGAAATAAGTTGTTGGCTGCTAATCCAGTAAAAGAGGTTTTGAAAAAAGAAAAAAGAAAAAGGAAAAAAGGTTTAGCCCTTTTGGGCCGAGTCTTTAGACAAAAGTGATATTATGACAAAATTGAGGGTTTTATTGAAAGAAAAGAAAGAGAGATAGCTAAAGCTTAAGGAATTATTCAGTTGCATTTGCCGAAGCTATACTTGATGCAGGTGCTCTTAATGACAGGTATCGCAAATGGACGTGTGGAGATCGCAACTACAAAATGTTACTCAACTCTTGTACCATGTATTTCCTTTCTCCATGTAGGCCCCACAGGCCGCTCTGTTTCTTTCTCTTCCAAATATTCCTCTCGACGAAGTAAGAACGCGATTGGCATCACCTCCAAGTGCCCTTGTTTGTTCAAGAACAGTCTCAGAACCTTGCGTTAGCTTTTGAAAGTGCCTCAAGAAAGTGAAAGTCAAGATTTTTTTTAGAAGTGCTATGACTTATCACCTTTCTGTCATCAGCAAATGTCTGAACGCGTTTATCTCGCAAAGACCAAGCAAGAAGCCAAAGAATCTCATCTCCCATCTTTCTGTTTTGGTCACGTCGTGATAGTTTGCCAGCTTATCAAGACGATTGTTGACCGCATCTATCGAACCTTTTAGTGCAAAATATTAGTTCATAGTATTGTCATTAACTCTGAAAACAATATACACATACTTTTGTGACTTTCATATTCATCAACTAGTTCAGGACGTTTGATGGTTACTTCACTACCACTGACTCTACCACTGGCTCTACCACTGGCTCTACCATGGACTTGCCTACCCGCAGCTCTCGTGGTTTCACAATTCGAGGCAAAAGCCTTGATTTTTTGATCCCGGTAAGCACAAGCAAAAAGGCAACCGTCGTCTAATCCCTTCTTTATAGTAAAATAACTGCCATGTTCTGTATCGACTTGCTAAACAACATCAGCCTTGGGCATACCCTTAGGTCAAGAGACGCACTCACGAATTTGCATGATGCCATAAAAGTCCAGTTCGCTCAGCATGCTGATAATAAAAGGGGAACCAAACCAAGAGTCAGCAATGACGTTCAGGTTGGTGCTAAATCAGGGCTCGGCGAGTCGCTTGACTGTGGCTGGTAGCTTTGTTTTGTCAAACTCACCATCGAACTCTTTTCGAACAGGATCATCAGCTGCATCAATTCGCAGAATGCAAAAGGCGTGGTGATTTATAACTACCTTGAACTCTCGACCAATTGGATAAGGCTTTCAAGGAACTGCAATTGGGGGAGGGTGAAAACGGACCGTAGATTTAGTAATGAGACTGAAGCTTAATTATGTTCCTTAAGTAATATAAGGATTATATTCAAGCCAGGATGTATGCGAAACGATGGTTATATTCCTTTACTTAGTATTCAAGTAATGTAATTTATAAAGCTCGATCAAAGATAGTGTTCCTTATAGATTTCTCTTGGAGGA